TAGGTCCATAAAAGTCCAAGAAAGTGATAACTCGAAAGGTTGATGAAAGCTCAAGTGATGACGCAAAACATAAGGCTGACATATATAGTGTGCATTTTTTTTTATTGGCAAAAGGTTGATGTTCGAACATTTCTAGGAAAAACTAATTTCCTTCAAATCTCTTATCGCTTAAGGGCATAATTTGAGCTAAAAATCATTGCAACTTGCATCCCACATAGTATTACATGTTTGCCAACTATAATACATCCGTTACATGATTTGGTCAATCTGATTTTAAAGGAAATATTTAATTATTAGATTTTTTTTTTTAAGGCGGCAAAATGTATAAATATTCATTTTTGGCAAGTGTCATGTAAGGACGCAAACTTACATCATTTGTGAAATTAAGGATATTATATTGTATAAGATAAAATTATGGTTGTCTCTCCGAAAAAAAAAAAAAGGAATATAAATACAGTTGAGGACAGCATTAACATATAAGTGACAGATAAAAATATATAATGAAATTTGTAAACAACTTAAGTAGATATTTTAAATTTAAATTACGTAATATATCGAAAAAATAAATAATAGAATTATTTAACCTAAAATAATATATATATATATTTAATGGAATTGTGCATGTGCATATTTAATGGAATTGAGCCCATATGATATGTTCATATTCACTCATTACAGCGCTAATCACTGTATGGTTTAAGTAGTCCTGTTACTATTTTTTTTTTTTATGAAAAGTAAAGTAACGGGCATTTTCTGTGATATGAAGTTTGAGTTTTAGGATTAATATTTCGTATCACAAAAACAGATAAAATAGATACTAATATTTTTTTATATTAATTTTTTGATATTTAATAATCACATTAAATTTTAATTAATTTAAAATTAAATCACGTCAGACTTTATTTGAAGAAAATTTTTTCAACATCTGTTTTTTCATTCACAAGATTCAAACTTAAAATTTTATTTTAAAAAATTGAATTCCTTCCACTCGAATCAACAAACTATTAATAATAAATATTAATGTTATTAATATAGTTGTTACTTAAAAAAAAAAATACCCTTATAGGTTTTTTTTTTTGAACGGCAAAAATACCCATTACAGCACGACGGCTGCGTCATCTTGCTGAAGATAATTGAAATGGTCTCTTCTCTGAATTCATAAATGTAATTTCGCTCTCTTTTTTTTTCTTTTTTCTTTTTTTTTTGGCTTTTTTCCTACTAGATTAGTATTTTTTAAAAAAGATATTTCATGGGATCGAGGCTTGAAGCAAGACTCAATTGTATGTCGAGTGATTATACATGTGCACAATTTCATTGAATGTTACTTACACTCGTTTGTGTATATATATATATATATATATTTACTAGACAACATTTCATTGATTATTAAATAACAAGATTATAAGTGTGAAGTAGAGGTAATTAGAGTATTATATAACGGTCACCAATCCACCAAGATTTTATATATTATAATTGGTCTGATACCATAATAAATAGCATGGAAAAATCCCGATAACCCGACATTAATTACTATAAGCTATTAATCTAATAAATGTAAATAAAATTACTATTCCATGTCCTTAATAAGATATGGATGGACGACCTATTAGCATTAATAACATAAAAGGAAATAATATTTAGAATAATAAGGTTTCTCACATATTTATCCTTCATTAACTTCTTTTTTTTTGTGATAAGTGAACAATTTAAATAATTTAGTGGTAATTTTATTTCGCTAGAAATAAAGTGTTTTGAATTTGAATCGCATAACATACGGGTGGAGTAGAATAAAGAATGAGAAAAAGTTGTCTCATGTTCTGTAACCAATTATAAAAAAAAAAATTCCTTTTGCGACCAACTGATATTGAATGGAATCTTCGGCCATTGGCAACCGTTGCCCTTTGTCTGCTATAGCGACACATTACTCCTCCACTCCAAGCTAGTGCTCCACCCGCCTTGCTATCCTGGATACCTTCATTAATTAGTCGCTTCTTTACGAAAGAATCAAATGGAGAAGAGAGTAGGCCTTTGGCCACCATGCTACTGTCATGAACCACCACCAAACTTGCCACCCTAACTGTGCTATCGTTCTGCTGTAAAACTCTTATGGAAACATAGCCCATTGGGAAGAGAAGAAGAACCAAAAACTGAAAAATCCACAAGAAAAGGATTTTGTACTTCCCATAAAGAGAAAAAAAGTCAATTTCTAAAAACCTAGCAGAGCACATCTTAACGGCTTTTTAAACTCAGTTTCTAATTTTATGAAGATTAAAAAACACTAACCCTTATCCTTGTTAGTTAAGCTCCAGTTCTAACCTAATTGGTATATTGAAAATGAGCTCCTAAGCAAGGTCCTACTTGTTGAGAGCTCAATTTGAAAATAAATTTACAAAAAAAAAAAAAAAAAGGCTTTAGGAAAACAAATCTTCTAATTTTAGAGCTTCATTGTGGATTTAAAACCAAATTCAAATTTTATAAAAACTTTACTTTAAATAGTTAAACTTGAGTCGCACGAAAATTATATAAAGTTATTTAACTTATAAGATAATGTATTTTTTTCTAACAAAATTTATTAAATTTTACTTTTTAATTATTTAATAAAAAAAATTCGAGCCAAACTTCTTAACGAACTTAACTGAAACAAAGTCATTTCTTGAGACTTCTTTTACAGGAATTCCCTTGGCACCCAAAAAAAAAAAAAATTTTGGCATTTCTATACCCATTTTTTTTGGATAAATATTTTTGGATATTATGGTATAGAATATGGAGGGAAATTGAAAATCAAGAAAGAATGTGAAAAGACAATACCGCACCTAGGAACATAGGACCGCAGCACACCCAATGCAGCAAAAATACGTAAAAATCCAAATCCACAGCCCCTGCCTAAAAATCCCTTATTTCTTCCTTCCCTCTTTTCCCCGTCTGCCTTCTAAAACCCCCTCCTGTCTGCCCTCTAACCAAATACTCCCGAATTCGGACAGCCATGGCCGTCGCATTGGAGCTCCGGACGCCGCTGTACCTGACGTCGGCTTAGGGTGACGGAATTCCGTTCTTAAATCGTACTCCTGCATTGGTAAACTCTTTGATCACTCCACGGCTCTCCGTACGGTTTATGAGTACAGTTTTTTTTTTTTTCTCCTTTTTTTTTTTTGGTATTGATTTCGTCTTTTTTCGAATTTGCAGCGGATTTTTTAAAGTCTCTCAAGATCTTCGTACTGTGTCTGTCAATGAGTTCGATTCCAGTGAGGTAATGGTAGAAGCTGTAAAACAACAAGTCTTTTAAGTTAGTGTTTCTGTGGATTTTATAGGAAATGGAGTAGGGTTTGGGATCTGACTGTTTATTGTGAAAACTTGATAGAGGCTAGGTTTTAGCAAGCCAAACCTTGCTTTGAAGGAAGAGTTTGATATGGAGCGGAAGGGTTTTGATTTGAATGAAAAAGGGAGTCCAGGTGAGTTTTCTGAGTCTGATGAAGGGCAGCTGGTGTCTTCTTGTAAAGAAGGAGCTGCTGTTGAGAAGCCAGAAGAAAATGGGGAATGCAGGGAGGAAGCTGAGGGTAAAGCTGTTCAGTTGGTTGAGAATGGGAGTAAAAGAAGTAGGGTAGAGAGCAGTGAAGACAAGGAAGACGTTGAAAGCATAAGTAAGAGGCTGAAACGGGAAGGCTTAGATAGCAAGCTTCAGCTACCCGGTGCTGGTAGGGCTTTGCGCTCCAGATTTGCATTGAAAACTGGTAGTGAGAAGGAAGTTGATCAGGGTGAGAGTGCAGATATTGTGGATGGTAAAAAGACAGATACTGATGGGGATGTGAAGAAAATGACGGAGATAGAAAAGGAAGAGATTGATAACTCTGGAAAAGTGACGGAGGTGAAACGAAGGCGTGGGAGACCACCCAAGGTGCAGGTTAATGAGTCTAAGGAAGTTGATCAGTGCGAGAGTGCAGATGTTGTGGATGGTAAAAAGACAGATGATAATGTGGATGGGAAGAAAACAATGGAGAAGAAACAGGAAGAGATTGGTAACTCTGGTGAGGTGATAGTGGTGAAACGAAAGCGTGGGAGACCACCCAAGGTGCAGGTTAATGAATCTAAGGAAGTTGATCAGGGTGCGAGCGCTGATGATGTGGATGGGAAAAAAACAGATTGTAATGTGGATGTGAAGAAATCAGTTTCTGTTCAGGAGAGTGATCACTTTCATGACGAGGCTACAAAGGAGGTGAAGCATCAACCTGGAATGCAACCCTTCAAGCGCAAGCGTGGTAGACCACCCAAGGTGAAGGAGAGTGATGGTTTTGAGAAGAAAAAGGTTGTGCTAGAAAGGGAAAGGAACAATGACAGGTTCACAAATAATGAGATTGAGGAGGAGTTGGAAGGGAGCAATAAGCACAACCGTGGGAGATCAAATGCGGTGCAGTTGAATGAGATGTCTCCAAAGAAATCAGTTAATGTTGAGGAAGGTGATTACTTAGATGATGAGGTCGGGAAAGCAGTGCAGCATGAATGTGGAAGACCTCACTTGAAGCGTAAGCGTGGAAGACCACCCCTGAAGCGTAGGCCTGGGAGACCCCCCAAGGTGCAGCAGAGCAATGGTTTTGAGAAGAAAAAGGTTGTGTTGGAAAGTGAAAGGGGTGATCACTCAAATGTTATGGCAGGGAAAGGCATAATTCATAAGCGTGGGAGACCACGCAAGGTGCATGGAAGTTGGGGAGTTTTGAAAGGGAAGCTTAATGAGGTAAAGTCTGGTCCGTTAAGAGACGGCAAAGTGGATTCAAAATTGAGGAATAGTTTGAAGCAGAGTGACAGTGAGCGAACTCATACGAAATACTCCAAAAAGGTTAACTTCAGTGACTTGGAAAGGGGTAATAATGAGGCTTTGCAGAGTTTTAAAGGGGAAAGATCAGCAGCAAAACAGGCAATGAGAGATCGAATAATAAAGCTACTTTTGGCTGCAGGTTGGACAATTGATTATCGGCCCCGGTCTGGCAGAGATTACAATGATGCAGTGTATGTTAATCCTTCCGGGAAAACACACTGGTCAGTCACCTTGGCTTACCAAGTGCTAAAGGAAAGTTGTGAAAGTAGTAATGCTGACTCTAAGACTAGTGATTTCACATTTACTCCAATCCCAGAGGAGGAACTCAGCATCCTTAAAAAGGTAATGACTAAAAAAAGGGTGGGAAAGAAGAAGAAGAAGAAATTGAAGGGAAAAGAGAAAGATGAGAATACAGACAGTGAAGGAGAGTTTGAAAAGAAAAAACGAAAACAAAAATGGAAGTTGAAGCCAAAGCGGAGGTATGATGGAAGGGAAAATGGAAAGAAAAGGAAGAAACAAAAAAGGAAATTTCAGCAAAATGGGGAGGAGGAATCGGATGATTCAGCTGGTACATCAAATAAGGCAATGTTGTTATCAGGCAGGAAGTATAAGCGGAAGGAAACACAAAATAGAAAGCGATGTGCTCTGTTGGTTCGCAACTCCATGGATGGAGCCGAATCTAGCAATGATGGCTATGTTCTATATGATGGTAGGCGAACGGTGCTTGCCTGGATGATTGATTTGGGTACCGTAGCAGTTGATGACAAGGTGCAGTATGTGAACCAAGGGACACAGGCACTTTGCGAGGGTAGGATAACCAGAGATGGCATCTTGTGTGACTGCTGCAATGAGATGTTCATTGTTGAAAAATTTGAGTCACATTCCGGGAGCAAACTCAATGAACCATTTCAGAACATATGTTTACTGAATGGAAAATCCCTGTTAGAATGCATGTATGACTCCTGGAATAAACAGGAGGAATCCAAGCATAAGGGGTTCCATTTTGTAGATGTTGATGGTGAAGACCCAAACGATGATACATGTGGTATCTGTGGAGATGGTGGTGATTTGATCTGTTGTGACAGTTGCCCATCAACATTCCATCAAAGCTGCTTAGATGTAAATGTATGTCCTTTCACGATTAGATTTTATTACTTTGCATATGCAATCTAGTCTGTCTTTATAGGTTCACCTTGCTCCTATTCACTTTCTTCACCTTATCTCTACATGGTGCACTGTTTGAATCTGAAGTGCACAGAAAAGAAACAAAAGGTTTTAACATGTTTGTTTGTTGAGAGCTCTTTCTTGGTTGATGATGGCATATTGATGGCTTGAAGTTGTTCAGTACTTGCATGTCTGATCTCTATGAAGTGTGATCTAAATACAAAAATGTGCCACATTGGTGGGCTGTTGAGCTTTATGTATCCCTTTATTTTAACTTTTTGGTATTGCTACGTTTAAGATCTAAATCAACCCCCGGGATTGCAGGCAAAGTTTTTGTTTTAGGTTCACAGTTTGTCATGGCATATGTTGGCTTCTATTTTTCTTTCCTCTCTCTGGGGTGCACCTAAATAACATAAAACTAATAATTGGTGAAACTTTAGTGCAGGATCTGTTGGACAGGACTTGTGTTCGAAATTCACTGCATAGAAATTCTAGAAACATTTTCCCTTTCGCATTTTATGTTGCAATAGATATCATTTCATTTTGATTATAGTAAATAATAAATCTTCTATTTTTCCCATTTTTTCTACTCTTCCACAGAAGTTTCCTTCAGGTGACTGGCACTGCATTTACTGTACGTGTAAATATTGTGGAATGGTTGGTGAGAAAATGAATCGAAATGACAGTGAGGAGGATAAGGCTTTATCTGCGTTATTTACTTGCTGTTTATGTGAAGAAAAATGTATTTCCTCTATCTCATATTTTCCATTGTTTTTGTTGCTGTTTAATACCTTACCTTTCTTGAAAAAACTATTTTAATTATTTTTGTAGATCACCGATTATGCATTATGAAGGATGCTGTAAGTGATGATCCTGATAGACCGTCCTTTTGTGGAAAGAAATGCCAAGAGGTATTGTTTTTTCAGTCACTTATGTAGTTCATAACTTAACAAGGTTTGTCAGATCTATAAATGTTTATTTTTATAGTTATTTATTGCAGTCAGTTGAATTATATCTGCTCGAGATGATATTGTAAGTTTGTACTGTGACAAGTCACAGTGTTTCCTCACCTTGGTGGAGGTGAAAGTTGGTTTATGAGACATCTGTGTCTAAATGTCGCACAGGTTTTTCAGTAAGCGGGGCAGGATTTGAAAGATACCAGGTTTTTGCCACATTGAGTGAGGGTGCTAAGGGGGTCTAAGCTTTAATTTTGCACACTCCCCTCTGGACGTGCAAACAAACAAACAACATGAAAGCAATTTTTTTTTTCATGTAAAATAAGGAAAGAAACCCTTTTGAGTTAGTTCGTATTTTGTTACAAACTATATATATTAACTATATATACCTTTTGTATCTATATTAACTATATATACCTTTTGTATCTATATTAACCATATATACCTTCTGTTCTATGTACCCTGAAGTTTGATCATAATGTTTCATTTTCAGTTATTTGAGAGACTGCAGATGCTTGTTGGGGTTAAACATGAATTAGAGGAAGGTTTCTCATGGACTCTCACCCATCGCTTTGATGTCAGTCCTGGTGTTTCTCTCAATGATTCGTCTCAGAAGGTTGAATCCAATTCAAGGCTAGCTGTTGCATTGTCTGTTATGGATGAGTGCTTTTTGCCCCTAGTCGACCACAAAAGTGGTATCAATCTGATTCGTAACATTGTCTATAATTTTGGGTAAGTGCACGTGAACTTGTTATAACTGCATTGATTATTTCTATAGAATATGTTAAATAATCAGAGTTTTTTTTTTTTTTTTGTTAAATAGAATTTGGGTTTTGGGATTCTTTGTGTGGAAAGATTAGGGTTTTGGAAAGTATGGCTTTCACTGATCAAGCTAGCAGATGGGGCAATTTTTATTTTTTTCCAACCTCCTCTTGGCTCCAAAAATGCAAGCAAAGAGAAATGGTTACCTTTTCTAAACCAGTTTCTAGTTTAGGTTGCTCATTGTTTCTCTAAATGTTCTCAAGTGGTAACAGGTAAGTTACTGCTTTGAAGTTGTGTGTTGAAATAGTCTAAGGAGAAGAATATTGCTAAGATTTCTAAATGTTCTGTTAGGTCTGTAAGTTAAAAGGATGTTGACCCAAACAAGGACCACCTCAACTCTCAAGGTTTGAACTTGAGACACTTGGAGTCTCAAGCTTTTCTTAGTTGAGACACCCCCCCTTCTAGAATGACTTTTTATATTCTAATGCATTTTAAGGTCCATGAGATATTATCAAGGCTACAACAACCCATTTTAGATGGAAAAACGTAGATAGTCAATAGCCAGCAGTTTACCAAGGGGAATGTAGACCTCTCTCTTTGTGAAGTGACAGTTAGAGAGTTAGAAAGAATCAGTATGTTGGAAATATGCTGCAAGCAAACTGACTCAGATGTGAATTATGGTTCAATTATTGTATTGTTCCTTGTTAAAATTCTATCTGTTAGCAACATCTTTCTGTTCCTTAGATACTAATGGAAGCATTTTTGCACAATTATGGTTGCGTAGGTGGACCTTAATATTTATAAAATTAAACTTGGTTTAATTGCGTTATTAATCTTATTTTTGTTTATCAGGTCAAACTTTAACAGGCTTAACTACAGTGGTTTTTTAACTGCAATTCTGGAAAGGGGTGACGAGATTACTGCTGCAGCATCAATTAGGTGTGTGGTCTAGTTAAATTACTTGTGGCTTGTAACTCGCTAGATTTTATGCCATTCAAAAATAATACTAGATTTTATGTTTTAAGTTTTGATATCGAATTTGTCCATTTTTGGTATTACATTGGACTTCTTTTTCTTTTGAAGTTTAAATTTGCTAGCCCTTTATTCAGGCATCTAACCTTGATTGACGGTATGAGGAGATGCCTAGCCTGAATAAGGATTTGTAAATCTATAGAGCAATTGAAACAAACGTGTCTATCGTATGAACAAAGATAACGATGCAATAAACAACAAATGAACTTGATTCTAATATCATGTTAAAGCTTCCAATCAAGCACTAGTTAGGGAAGGTGGAGAGTTTCAACCTGAATATAAGACCACAACAAACTCCAAAGTCAAACTTTGTCGGGACAAAATAGGAAGTTCTTGCATCTAATTGATCAGAAGTACCATCAACACCTGGTATAGACATTGTCTGATAATATATGCTGTTGGATTAAAGAGGTGATTCGGATTACACTTGGTTTAGTTAATTTCTATGATTTTGAAATGCATAAAAAGAACCATATATTTAAATTTAGATTCTGATTGCATAAGGTACTTGCATGTTCTATACCATAAAGTACCAGGTTCCTTTTTACACAATTGAAGATATTTTATTAATTTATCACCACAATCCAGAATGTCACTAAAATTCAGTATATGGTTGAATTCTGCATTGAACATGTTAGTTTCATTTTATTCCACCTAGGATTTGTTATTAACATGTTTCCAACTGTCCTTATAATATCTGTTTGAAAATAGTAAATTAGCAGATCATGACATCATATAATTCTGCTTGCATCAGTAAGCAATTTACCAATTGTGGCAGGGTATGGCAATGGTAGGCTAGCTTTTACAGTTCTATGCATCATCTCTCCCCTGCTCCACTTTCTAATTTTGTATGTCCATATAACTAACATTTACAATGATTTCCTCATTGATCTATTAGGATCCATGGCAACCAATTAGCTGAGATGCCGTTTATTGGGACTCGCTATGTGTGTAGGCGCCAAGGAATGTGCCGTCTGCTTCTTCATGCAATTGAATCTGTATGTCCTGAGCTGATTATCTTTTTATCTGCTACCTTTATTTCCATGTTCGTAGATTTTGGGAATGCAGATTTATCCAAGTTTTATCTTTTGTACATTACTGCATTTCACCAGCGTTGTTTTGCTTTTAGTTTTTGAATAAATATATAATTTTGAGAGTTTATTAAAAAATCTAGCTGCTAACTTTTCAGTTTTGAATAATTAGGAAATAACAATGTCTAACTACCAGTTAGGTATAAACATCTAAATAGGTTTTCATTCAAAAGATCTGAAAGCCTGTCTAGGAAGAGCAACCGAGTTGGTGAGATGTAGCCAGCAATAATTTTGTAAAATTTTCAATTTTCCATGCATTTCATCCCTCTTTTAGGTTTCAAGCTTTCTGATGACCTGCTTTCTAGCTCACTATTTCTTTTGATGTCACTTTTACAGGCGCTGCACTCTCTGAAGGTTGAGAAATTGGTCATACCTGCAGTCCTTGAACTAAGAGAAACTTGGACTTCAGTCTTTGGTTTCAAGCCACTAGATGCATCAAGCCGGCAAAAAATGAAGAACATGAATATCTTAGTCTTTCCGGGCATAGATATGTTACAGAAACCATTGCTTATGAATCAATTTACTGAGGAAAATATGATTTGTTCTGAAGGTATTAAATCAATTAACAGAGGTGCCATTTTCTAAACTTCAATACTACTAGTGGTTTTGCAGATGCTGATATGCATGTTCTTGTAGGTGTGAAGTCCAGTAAACTTAGCGCGCGTCAAATCATAGATGAGAGGCCTGATAACTCTGGTGAATGGTGTTCAGCTGCATCTGATTTGAGTGTTTCTGATGAGGGTACTGCTAGTGCTTTCTATGTTCCTGCTCCTGATGGAAGCACGGTGGATTTGGACTCTGGATTAAGCAAAGCATCTGAGGTGGAATTGCATGGGAGCAATGTTAAGGATGACACCAATTCTAATCACAAAGTGGAAGCTTTTGCACATGAATTAAAAGATCCCCTTTATCATTTAGGTGGGAGTGGGATTGCTCCTCCCGGTCATAGAGATGTTCATCCTTGTGGGATTCCTGATATTGCCATTGAAAAAGCAGATTCCCAGCCTCTCATGAATACCGGAGTTTCTAAGCCCACAGAGCTTACCAAAGATTCTTGTGAGGTTGCTCTGGATGACAGCCATGATTCTAAAGCAACAATTCCTGCACCACAGACTGTCTCCTCTGTTGCAAAACAAATTCTTAATGGAGCTGAGCACCTGAAATCTGCACCGCAGGATGATAACATTCGTAGCATGCAGTGTGCTTCTGAAACTTTATGTGAGTTGAACCCTGCATCAGGGGTGCCTCTTCACTGTGCTTCCAATGAAGGTAAATCATGCAGTCCTGAGGTAGTAGTTTTATCTAACAAGGCTAGATAATTTCCTTTTGTCCATTCCAGTATAGAACAGGCTTCTTTTTGATGGCTGCCATGTACTAGGATACCAAGGTGCACAGTGTTGTCTTGCCCCTTAACTGGTGAAAACTAATGAAAGCATCGCCATTTTGAGTGGTTTCAGGGGTATATAATGTAATTTTGTAGCTATGAAGAGCATTGAAGTCGATCTCCAGTTTACCTTTAGCCTGATGCCACCATTGAGGTTTGTAAATTTTGACTACCAAAGTGCACATTGAAAATAGGAAGCAGTTACGGCTTAAGTAAGAATATAAGCCTTTTTCTCTCATGAGATGGACTTATTGGCATCTGGACTCTTTTTTTTTTTTTTGGGAACTGCAAACGGAATCATTGGACTTTGGTTTAGAATAATGGAAATCGGAAATTAAAATAACATTTTTGAACAAATTGTCCGTTGGCTTTTGTGGAATTAGTTACTTCTTTTCTTCATTATTTGTAAGTTAAGGTAAAGGTAAGAGGATCAAATCACTAAGAGATTGTTGGTAATTTTCTGGCAATTTTCTTCGAATAGTTTTTTATAGATATCTCTTCTACCACAAGCTATTGAAGAATAGTAACTTTATCATGGGGATACATATTCTTATCAATCAAATGCGTCTACTTAGTAATTTTATTATTAATTTTGTCCTTCTTCTTATTTTTTATTTTTTATTTTTGGCATTTAGAGAACATAATGCATATATTACAATTAAAGCTAAGAACACCAAACCATCAAACCAATATATATATATTTTTATTTTTTTATTTTTCTTCTTTTTTTTTTTTTTTTATTTTTGGCTTTTAGTGTAGTTATTGTTTTTGTTTCGTTTTTCGCTCTGAATTTCAAACCATGTGTCTTCTTTTTATATGTTATAGTTTATTTTTTTTTTAGATGTTTTTTTTTTTTTTAAGAAAAACTATTACTATAGTTATTATTATATTTTTTTGTTTCTACTTAAATTTGGAAATTTGTTTCTTTTTTTTTTTTTTTCAGGAAGAATTTTGTTTTATATTATTTTTTTCTTTGGTATTATTTTTTGTAAAATTAATATTATTTAGTTATTTTAATATTACTAATGTTTGGGATTTTAGTTCTTTTTTTTTTTTGAATTAGATAAAATTAATAATCACATTATATTTGTTAATAATCTAAGTAATTCAATGGTAATTTCTTTCAATTGAAAGTAAGAGATTTTGAGTGCAAGTTGCATAACATGCAGGTGTAGTGGAATAAGGGATGAAAGAGGGTTGTCTCCAATTGTACAATCAACATTACAAAAAAAAAATTATTATTATAATCACTTTATATTTAACACATTTAATAATTGTGATATTTAATATCTTTGTTAGAATGTCTTGACATTTTTTATAATAAGGCATTTTAATTTTTCACTTTCTCTTATTTTTTATATGCTACTACCTAGTATTTACCAAAAAAAAAAGAATTTAGAAAGGAAAATCATCAAAAAAATATAATAAGTCAATAATTTAAATAATTTAATAATAATTTTTTAATTAAAATAAAAAATTTTAAATTTAAATCACATTTTATGTTAAGAGATAATGGAGAGTTTGCTTGGATTTCAAAATGAAAAAAAGCCAAGAATAATGATAAGTCGGTAAATAAAGAAATAAAAACTTTGTTTTGCAAGACATTTAAATAATTTTATAAGGTAGAATACAATTCCTCTAAAACAATTTTTTTATGAAAAATAAATAAATAAATAAATAAAGATAAATAAAAGAAGAAAAATGAGGAACGAAGCGGTATATAAACATCGTCGTTTCGCTCCATTAGTCACTACTAATATCTAGGGTTTGAGTCTCTCGAGTCTCGATTGCTCTCTCGTCGTGACGGCGCTACAGCTGACTGCAAAGCATCTTGTACCAAAACCCTAGCCATGGTAAGTGTCGATAAACTACTCTTTCATCTCCTCTCCCACATCTCTTCCTCTATTGACTGGTTTCGTTTTGTTCAATCCAGTCGCTGGTAGCAAATGAAGACTTCCAACACATTCTTCGTGTGCTCAACACCAACGTCGATGGGAAACAGAAGATAATGTTTGCCCTCACCTCTATCAAAGGTATCGGCCGCCGTTTCGCCAACGTCGCCTGCAAGAAAGCAGATGTCGACATGAACAAGAGGTCCCTGTTTCTCTTTCTTTCTCTCTTGCCTTTCAAATTCCCATACTTACTGTTCTTTTTTGTGTTTAATTAGCTATTTTTGTGTTATTTTAGGACACTGTTTATGCTTTAATTTGAAGCATAGGTAATTTAATCCTTTGGGTTATTTATGAATTTAATTTTTGGCTCAACTGGGATGAAGTAGTATTCTAGATGCAGCTAAGACAAATGATTTGAAGTGTTTCTAAACATGAAGTTACATTTTAATTATGCAAAAATAGGTTTTTCCCTGCATTTTTGAAGTATTTATTTGGAAAATGAAGGATGGTATGATCAAAGTAGTGCCATTCGGCACCATTTCTGGTCTTATTGTCTTAACTCTTGGGTTTGTTTGCAGGGCTGGTGAGTTATCAGCTGCGGAGCTTGATAACATTATGACTGTTGTTGCAAATCCTAGGCAGTTCAAAATCCCAGATTGGTTTCTCAACAGGCAGAAGGATTACAAGGATGGAAGGTATTCTCAGGTTGTGTCCAATGCCTTGGATATGAAGCTCAGAGATGATCTTGAGCGCTTGAAGAAGATCAGGTTCGTTTCTGTTCTTATCAAGTGTGCCTTTTGTTTTTCCTTTGAGAAAATTGTTCATTCATAACATTTGCTTTAGAAATTTGTGAATCTTTTATTTATGTTGTAGTTTTGAATTTGCTTTAGATCATCTAGTAATAGTATTTTGTGTTTTTCTTATTTTTATCTTGGGGGCAGGAACCACCGTGGTCTTCGTCACTACTGGGGTCTTAGAGTGCGTGGACAGCATACCAAGACCACTGGCCGCAGGGGAAAGACTGTTGGTGTGTCCAAGAAGCGATAATTGTGTTCATCGCATTTGTGTGTTTTCTCTTGCTCTTGGTGGATCTTCTTTGGGGTTTACTTTTAGAAGCTTTTCCTAGTCTGGCATCCATGATAATGAGTATCTATCAGTTTTGTTATTTTTTTTGTGTCAACTTGGTTTCATTATCTTATTAAGTTTATCTGCTTTGTCCCAAGTGAGATTTTCTTCTTAGGAATGATTGTAATGAGATTTGAAGTTAAGATCATGAATGAAATGACTTATTGCTACCTAACCTGTCCCCGGTTGGTGATTTCAGACCTAAAGTTTTGATATGATTTAATTTGATGGTCACCCTTGTATTCTTATACTTTGCATTGCTGTAAAAAGAGAGCAGCTGCAATGCCTAGTGTCATAAGCCTCTTGTAGAGTTATTGCAACTTTTAGGTGTTCAAGTATGATCTCGGATAAGAAAGGTTTAGTGAAGTCCTTTGAGATTCATGGTTCTTAGTTGTTAATAGATTTATTTAGCAGTTGCTCTTTTAGAACGCATTATGCTGATTTTGCAGCAAGCCACAACATTGGTTGGTTTGGTTCAGGAAATGTAAGTGGGCTAATGAAACCATTTTTCCTTGATGGTTGGTGTACCCAAAGCAGTCTTGGAAAGATTGGTGTAGAAATCCTTACATTCATTATGAAACAAGGAACAGTATTTTGTTTTTCTGCGTTCTTTAGCCTGCTCAAAAGGGGATTACTGAGTAGACATGACTTGAGTTCTAGACAACTGCAAAGGTCCAGATGATAGATCAGTTAGTACCCCCGTCTGAATTTCTCATGTCTCTCTTTCATGCATTGTAACAGGCAGGCATTGTTTCCCGTTTTAGTGCTGCCTGCTAAGCAGAGGAGTAATTCTGCTCTTATATTCAGAGCTCCTCTCATTCGGTGCGGACGACTGAGGGAATATAGGGGTGAAGAGGGTTAAGGCCAACGAAAATTGTAGAATATTGTTTTTAAAAATATTCATTTTGTTCAATTTGATCAATAAAAATAATTATAATTGTAACTTTTAATTAATAATTGCTAAAATAATTGATATTTATTAATTAATAAATTAATATTTTTAAAACAACACTCGGAATATAATGGCTCATCTTCAGCCTTTCTAATTCTTCGGGCTTCTGGGCCTCTTTACACGTCATACAGTCCTAGAACCGGATATTTAGGCTGAGAAAAAAACAGTCAAAAAATCATTTTTCTTCTTCTTCTTCTTTTTCTTCTTCAGCTGGATATCTCATTATCAGAGTTAAAAATGGCTTCGGTGAGTTTTCTTTTGCGGTAAGCACTATGAAGACAGCTTTCTCGAGAACATGTGTACGGAAAATAAACAACATTTGCTCATAAATAATAATAATAATAATAATAATAATGCAACATTATGATTATTTATATCATTATGCAACAACTTGAAATATAAAAACATTATTGTCCCATAGAGACAAGTCATCATCACAGATATGAATCTTCAAATTGCCTTAATTTATTTTCTCTCATGTCCCTAACCTTCAACACCAAAGAAAAACCCAAACAAATATATACTCAATAAACCAAAAACCAAAAACAGAACAAAAATCAAGATTCCCTCCTCTTCCCTGCTTCCCTGCTCCTGTCCTTGTTTGATAATTAAATTTTCTACTGGATCCCTTTTGGCCTCATTTTAACCCCAAATTTGTCTGCATGTAAACTGTGGAATCTGTTCAGTTCCTTTTAATTTATTCTGGAATTTGGCTTCATCCCCTCTCTCCCTTAAATAAACACTCCTAAAAATGTCATTTACCACTTCGCATTGGACAAAACATACATGATTTCAGTTTCCAACCTTTATTATTGCAAAAAGTAGCATTTGGATCTCTAAATCAACATACATCTTACTCCTTTTATGTCATGTCTGTAAACAAGAAGAATAGTTTTTTTAATATATACTTTAAAAAGTATAATTATTGTATTTTTTTAATATTAATTAATATTAAAAATATAAAAATTATCATTAATTTTACTATCAGTACTACACATATAATTTTAATTAAATAAAGATCAATTTTATATTTTTTCAGTTCTAATTAATATAAAAAATACAATAATTACATAATTTAATCTATGCTAGTGGAAAAATCCTTAGAAGAAATACTCAAATTACCTCCATAAATTTTCTATACTATTTTCAAGGGAAAAAACCAAAACAAAAAACAGAAAGGAAGACTAAGTAAAAGATAATAAGCTATAATAGATGGACAGAAGTTTCCACATATATTTCTACTTATATCAAAGATTATTAGATAATCATGTTCTGAACATCACACGGGATTATACGTACACTGCTCGGAAATGCTCCGACCACCGTCCGGCAACTCTGTTTTCCGGCTGCTACCAGCGTTTGCCATTAGACTAACAAGAAGATCGGCGAATGCTCCGATGATGTATTTGTGTGTGTTCTTGGAGTTCAATGAGAGATAACACAAGAGAAGCTCGTGCAAGTAGTCCCAATTAGCCTTCACGTCGACCAACTCACGTGCTTCCACCATCTCCTGCATGGACCGCCGGAAATCCATGAAGGGGTCAGGGGAGAATGTGGCGACGGCGACGCTGTCTTTGACAGTTGGAGTGCTCCATGATTCAAGAGATTTATTCTCATCACAGCCGTCGTCGACCGGAGAATTAGTGGAGTGGTCGCGGGGATCGGTGGCACTGGCAAAGGACGGCGTTGATTCAATGATGGAATTGGAGCTGCCAGGGGAGGTGAAGAAGAAGCGTTGGGAGGATAAGACGGTGGCGAAATCGGGTTCTGATTCAGCATCCTTGTCGGGTTTGGATGAGATGGAGGAGGAGCGGCTGGAAGTCAACGATTTTGCGGTGGAGTCAAGGGTGTGGTCGTAAAGGGAGTTGAAGTTCCTGAAGAGGGTTAATACAGTGGTTGTAGGAAATTGGTGGCTGCAACCGCCGGCTGCCGTTGGTGAGGTTTCGGAGGACTGGGGATTTTGCGGACGTTTGATCTTGGAGAAGCAGAAATTAAGGTTTTTCCCTAGTGTAATCGGCATTTTCTCTGTAGTATGAATCTGTGATCCGAGAGAAAGTGAGAGAAAATAAAGATGAAGATAACAGGAAACCCGAAAGAAAATGAAGAAGCTCTATAAATTGACCCTTTCTAGTACTATAAAGCTGCCTGTAAATTGGGTTTTTTTTTTTTTAGCCTATAAATTGGTTTGCATTGACTTATAGTTTAATGTCAAATTCTATTAAAGCAACAATAAAAAGTTCACCATCGTCCCTTTAATCCAAAGAAAAAGAACTCAATTCATAAATATATGGATTTCAAATTTTGTAAATGAAAAGATAAATATTAAGAAAGTATTTTTTTATGAGATTCGATATAATTTAATTTTAAATTAATTAAAATTTAATATAATTATCAGATATCAAAAAATTAATAAAAAAATAAAAAGTTTTGATATTAAATATCAAAGTTTTTAATTTTAATTATAAAATAATATAAATTTCATTAAAATTTTAGAATTACAAGTTTTGATATTTTTTTATATCAAAATATTTTGATCTTTTTACTTTCTCTAAGATTATATAAAACATTATATAAGAAAACATTATACAAATCGAATTCCCCTTTAAAAATGTAATATTAATATTTTTCTTTGTACAAAAAAAGTTTGTATTTGATATTATAAATGAATTCTTAACTTTGATTTAAATTAAGATTTTATTGATCCAGTCAAATTTTTGTTGAACAAAAAATTTATTTTAGAATCTGAGTCGCCCTTTTTTCCTTTTCTTACTTTTCTCCTTAATTTAATTTCTATTTAGGTAATTTAATCAATAAAACGCAAAATAAAAATAAGGTATTTTGGGCTCTAACTCAACAGCGACAACACAGTTCCCAGATGAGAGAGGCCGCAAGCCATGTACACTATACACTATGAGTTTCCCCCACTCTCTGCACCAGCCACGTGAATGGCATATTTGATTTAGGGTCATTTGGGAATACAATATTTTTAAATATACGTTATTTAATAATTTTTTATTATATTTTAAAAAATTATAAAAAATTACAATAATTTTATAATAATTTTATATCTAAAATTAGAATTTTCATTTTGAAACTTTTTTATTGAGACTTTTGTTGATAATATATAATATATAATATAATTACAAAATTATTCATTAAAATTTAATTTTA